TCAAGAAGTCCAAGAACTAAGAGCCATCGTAAAATAGATGAGCCACGGGAAGCTGTCAACACATTTAGGTAAAATCGTCTTCTTTCCTCTGGACTCCATTGAGACTAGGGTTTTAAAAGAAAATTGCCTCTCTCAGCCGGCTGTAGTCACGGCCAAGTGTAAATCCATCTGCCTACGTCCTGGCGCCTGGCTGGTGGGATGGGGGGAGGGCAGGAGTAGTGTCGACTGTCTGTCACGACTCAGAGCTTTTGGCTGGATAGAGAAATGGGAGCTGCTACAGGCCATGCAAAACTCCCAACAGGTAAGGAAAATGAGTTTGCGATCTGCTTTCCTGGGAAGAGCTCTGGTTTAATGCAGTATGAGGGGAGAGCACGAAACACTTCACTAAAGAATTACATCCTGCTGGAAGCTTGGGCTCAAGGACCTGAAAAGCATCTTTTGCAATGCCAGCACAAGGACGGAGGAGGCCTGTTAATGGCACAACCATTAAGCACAGAGGCTGGTGCGGAGAGAGGGAGACATGTGTGTGTGTGAGCCTGTGTGTTTGTGCATCTTGGTGCTGTGTGTCTCCACACTGTGCTTGGCGTGTCTGTGTTTGTGCCATGTGGGGTGTGTTTGTGTGTCCAGGAATCCTGCAGTGCAGTTGACATTGGGCCTGGCCTCTCACAGATGTTCTTGCTGGTCTCCCAGGGCCCTCACAGACCCTGTTCCTGCCCAACAGCCCTGGTCCAGATTTATAATTGTGGGTGTCACTGTATGACACAGCTCTAGTCCCACTGGCGGGTAACCACTAAGGCAGGGCTGTGTCCTGCAGCTCCTCCTGGCCTGCAGGTCCTAGTGCATGATGTGTGTAACACAGGGGTTGTGGACTGCCTGCCCCAGGCTGAGGGTCCTTTCCAAGTGGCAGTCCTGTCCCTCCCCTGAGGTGGGGACTTCCCTTCTGGAATCCAAATGTGATTCCTCCCCATCCCTTCCTCTCTTGAACGTGTTGGGAACAACCTCCAGGTGTTCACAGTTCGAAGTCATGCAGTGATTTTCTCCAGTTCCAAGTTCATTCGGAATGAGGCGAGTGCTCCCCCCTTGGGGTTGGTTCTGCCAACCTGATCCCTCATTCCCTCCCGCCTTTCCTGAGGACGGAGCCCGCCCTGCAAGCAGAGTCCCCGGGCGAACACAACCGCCAGCGCCATAAGTAATTTTAATGCAGACATCACTTTAAACTAACCTTTTACCATCTGTTCCATCCTTTAATAACAAACGCAAAGGACCATAATTCTCCACGGCATCCTAAAGGGAGAATATGATGGAAGAGCCGTCTGCGTGCCTTATTCATGGCCCTATCGCCGGCTCCCGTGGTGTTTCCTCATTTTCCAGACACAAATCAAGGGGAAACTGCTCTCCCCTGGCCTGTGGACTCACTCACACAGTATGTCCCCTTAACATGGGGACCGTGGGAGAGTTGGGAGCATTTGGAGAACCTGGCAAAGAGCCTCGGATGCAGGGTGAGCGAAGCAGCCCGCTGCTGCCAGTATGTCAGAGGGCATTGCTGAATGGCCCTGAGGAATTACACAAGTGCAGCCCAACGTCTCAATGTCATGAGAGTCCTCCACAAAAAAAGTTATCTTTAAATACGCGGTGGGTTCTTTTCAGCAGCTCTGTAAGTTCTCCTGTGAACGATGAGGATCTTGGCCTGAGGATGTAGCAATAGAAATCTCATACCTCGGTGACTCTGTCTGCCCTGTGGCTACTGGAGACCCTTCTCCACTCCTACTCACTGCCTGCTCCAGAGGACTGTCCCTGGCACCATGTGTACCCTTGGTCCAGTGTAACTCATTCAGTGTCATTTGATGTCCTGCTGTGAACTCCAAGTGTACTTGTCCTAACCCAAAACCAAAGCAAGCCTCCAACTTCCCTGCCCTCAGATGCTTGGCACTCCAGGGCCAAGCCCTCACGTCGTCCCTCCTTCCCTCCCTCCTTCCTTCCCTTCTCTCTTACCCTTCTAGCACCAAGGAACAACTTGTTCTCAGGTGACATGGAGAACTTTAATCTCCTCTAATCTAGACTTTGTGCTGTGTGCCTGGTGCCCAAATCCCAGTGAGACACACCTCCCCCCGCCAAGAGCGGGGGAAAAGACTGTGTCCCACAGAGGGCCACCAGAACGTCCCACCTCTGCACGGAGACTCTGAGGGAATGAGACTCAGCCTCGGCAGGAGCCTTCCCGTGATGCCCAGGTCAGAACGAACAACCCCAGATGGTTCTATCAGCACCTGGAGGAAGGGCAGCCTTCCCTGAAAGGAACAAAGTCAAGATGTCTCCACCACCTAGCCCCCCACCCCACTCTCCTGGGTTTGTCTGAAGCGCTGCATGGTGAGCCCATCCAAGTGCTAGGACAGGAAGCAGGTGCCCTGAAGGCCAAGAACCAAGACACACCTCGATGACTGAACAAGCGTGTGTGTGCACACGTGTATACTTGAGTGTGTACACAAGGCCGCGTGGGTGTGTGCACATACACCGCAGTCCTGTCTGCATCCTCTCCCAGACCCTCGGTCAGCACACGAGCAGTCCTCAGACTTAAGCTGGCCCACACCTCACCTCTGTAATGGAAACCTCATCTCCTTCTCTCTAGCAGGTAAAGGACTTCTGTTCCCCTTCCCGATGGCCAGGCGCCCCTCGGCTGCTGCGGGTGTCTGGGGGCCTCTCTCGTGCCCTTAGTGGAATTAACTCTGGTGCATCTGTGGTAAATGCCGGTTTAGAAAACATCTCCTTTATCTATCAGGCTGAATCTTCTAGGAAGTGGGGTTTTCTGGGGCATAGCTTGTGGTGTTTCTGAGACAAGCCCTCCCCAGGCGTCCTGGGACCCCCATCTGCTGCGTCCTGTTCGCCACGTCACTCCCAGGCTGGTTTACAGCATCGACGGTGCTCAGGAACTGCTATCTCATCCTCTGCTTGCAGAAGTTTCGGGTCACTCCCAGGCAAGCATGCAGCCCCGAGTGCATGGGGCCTTCCTGCAGAGATGGCCGTCTGTCCCCTCCTTCCTCTAGCCAAGTTTGAATTTTCTATTTTCTTAAAATGTAATCATCTTCGTCACGCTTTTAACTGTGTTGGCACCTACGAAACAGAGGGCGAAAGTCTTGCCTTGCTCTCTTGAGCTTACCAAAGTGCGTGGGTTGTCTGTTTGCCCCCAAGTGCAGCTCTTGCATCTTTCAGTGCGTCCGTTCTGTTTTCAGAGTCAGCCCAGGCCAGCCCATCCTGGCTGAGTCCTCGGCACTTCTGCACTTACTTTAGCGCCTTCGCCCTGGCGCTGAACACTTTCTTCTTTGCCTGCTCCAGTTCTACTTGAACGATGGAAGCAGCACATCAAGGGTGACAGCAAAGGTGGCATGTTTGCTGTGGGACAATGCTGGGGTTTTACTAAGTGGCAGGATCCCTGCTTATTACTCATATTACTGGGGTTTGAAGGAAAGATCTCCACCATTTGAGCCATCTACCAGCCCTTTGTGCTTTAGTTATTTTTCAGGTAGGGTCTCGAATTTTTGTTTTGGGCCAGTCTCAGATCGCCATTCCTATGCCTACCAGTAGCTGGGATCACAGGCATGAATCCCACTCCCAGCCTATTGGTTGAGATGGGGTCTTGCTAACTTTTGGCCTGGGATGGCATTAAATGTCAATCCTCCAAGTAGCTGAGATTACAGGTGTGACACCCAGTGCCTGCTCTAAATATTTTTAAATAACTTCTAAAGGTGGTTTTGATTTCCTCTTTGACCTGATAGTTATTTCAGAACATTTTTTAATTGCTAAAATGTGTTTTTCTGTTTTTATAATTAATTTTTAATTTTAATGTTCCAGTAAAATATCTTCATCAATTTTGCTTTGTTGGAATACACTTTGAGGTTTTCACTGTGGTTCATTTCATTATAAGATGTTGTCATGGTCCCCTGGGCCTGGATTAAAAAATAGAGTTGGGGCCAGAGGTGTGGCTCAAGTGGTAAAGCACCTGCCTAGACATGTGATGCCCTGATTTCAAATCCCAGTACCTCCTGAAAAAAAAAAAAAAGCCTACTTAAAAATAAAGTTGCATTTTCTGGAGGTGCAGCCAAAGCTGGGGTGCACGGGGAATCCCACCTGTCTGTTCTCAGAGTCTCTCTGCACCTTTCCAGGGGGCCTCACCCCAAAAGCACACACCTGTGACCCCATTCCACCAACCTTCCTTTTTCATTAGGAGACATTTTGCTGTAACTGATGACAGACACGCAAAGTATTTCCAGTTTGTCTCTCGTCCTCTCTGTTTTCCAACGACTCCTGTTTGTCCAATGATCTAGTCAGAAATACAATGACCCGATGCCACAGTGAGCACAGGGTTTCACCTTTCCTGTTTCCTCCCCAGTTCTCTGTCTGCGTTAACTTATTTAACCTACTTAGCTCTGTAATCATGTGTTAAATTCCTGCTCTGGTTGACAGTCATCTTCTGCCTCCGTGCTTCAGATCCTTCTGTGTCACCTACCAGGGGACACTGCCCAACTCCCAGTGCCTCTGTCAAAGGAGATAAGCTATTTCATGGTGTTTGCATACCTGAAACGTCTGCACCTTCTCACAGGGTAGACACAGCTGGGCACCTGCTGCCCCCAGAACTCTGGGGGAGGTCACTCTATTTTCTTGCCTTTGTCGCCTTGGTTTGATGGCAGAATGGTAGGAGTGCTGGCATTGGGCTTGCCCACTTTACACCATCACGACCATTCTTTTTTGGCTGTGTTGCCCCACATTCCCTGCACAATGTTGAACTTGAAGCATTTACCTTGTTCCCCTCCCTGTCACCTTATGGGCCACCAGATATGAAGATGGTGGTGCTCAGTAAATCCTTGACCATGGACTGCCCTTCAGCATCCAGCTGTGTTCACTCATGCACTACAAACATGGCCAAGTTCAAGACACTTGAGGAGTGGGATGGCCACGACGGCCCCACACCCACCACAGGCTGACACCTTCTCCCTTTCTCTCCCTTTCAGATCCGATCTGACAAAGACAACGACATCCCCATCCGGTACAGCATCACAGGGGTGGGCGCTGACCAGCCCCCCATGGAGGTCTTTAGCATCGACTCTATGTCCGGCCGGATGTATGTCACACGGCCCATGGACCGGGAGGAGCGAGCCTCTTACCACGTGAGTATCCTTCGATGGGAGGCAGTGAAACTGGTATTCCGAAAACCTCCCAGCCCTGCCAGCCCTGGTGCAGCATCCTTGGTGAGGCACACACTCCTGCCTGGTCTTCTGCACACTCGGGGCCCCTCTCTTCTAGCATGCAGTGCTGTTGTCGATCCCAATCCTCCCAGTCTAGGACACACACCTGCAACCATTCCATTCCCCAATTGTCTCTCTGACAGCAGAAAAGCTTCTGAGCAAAGGAAGGAGAAATGATGAAGAAGGGAGGCTGTGGGGTGTCGGCTTCCAGGGGCTGTCCATTTATTTCCTGCTTCACACTCTGGCGTGGGGGAAGCAGTTGGGTTCCCATCTCCCTCAGACATGTGGCCATTCAGAACTGTGCATGTGGCTGGTCCCCTGGGCAACTTCTGTGCAAATGAGAGGCAGCACCTGCCAGGGCCACACCCATTCCCACCCCTTACCAGGGTGAGCCTCCAGCTAGTCAGTCAGCCTCCCCAGGCCTTAGGTCTCTCTCCCTAAAGATGAAGAACAGGGCAGTAGCCTCCCCCCAGCCCCAGCCCCCCGCAGGATGTTCTGAGGACAAGGCTAACATGCGGTCAGGGTGCTTTGTGTGTCTGAGGTCCAGCTCCTCCACTTTGATTTGGGAACACAGGTGGAATTCTCGTTGTCTGCCCCATGCTGTCATATTAATTGCTCTGACTGCACTTGCTTCAGCCCGTGGCATTGATCACAGCCTGACCCCACTGCTTCTGTCTGCTCATCATTTGTTTGGGATTTACTGTCTATCTCCTCTCACCAAGAGGAGACAGGGAATAGTCAGGCTTGTCCGCACCATGTTTCCAGGACCAAGGACAAAATCTGGCTCTGGGGATGTTCACTGCCCCTGTGCAAAGGGAGGGCACTGTAGGAGGAGGTGGATTCTGTCACTGGTCCTGGTGGCCTCCCCAGCTGAACCTGATGTACCCTCAGAAACAAGGTGATGGGCTGAAGGGAGCCCACCTCAAGAGGCTCGTTAGTCCCTTCAGAGCCACAAAGGGTTTCCTCTCTCAGATGGCTACCCAAGCCCCAAGTGGCTGCAGTTTCTACTCTGCTTGGACTGGGAGCTTCTACACCCTGTGGTTTCTGCTGATATGGAGAGACACAAGAATGATCAAAGTCAATGTGTTAGTCAGTTTTCTCATCACTGTGACAGAATACCTGGCATAAACAACTTAAAAGGAGGAAACATTTATTTTGCTCACTGTTTTGGTCTGTCATGGTGGGGAGAGGATGGCAGAGCAGAGCAGTTCACATCATGGCGCCCAGGAAAACAGGAGGGGAATGAGACCAGGTATAACTTCAAAGCTGCGCTCCTCGTGACCTTCTTCCTGCAGCAGGGCCCAACCTCTAAAGTTTCCTCCAGCCCCCAAAACAGCCCTCCAAGCTGGGGAGCAGGTGTTTAACTCATGAGCCTCTGGGGGACGTTTCTTACTCAAGCCATGATATTTTGCCCCTGGCTTCCAAAATCTCATAATGAAAAATGCACTTGGTCCAGCTCCAAGTCCACAAAGTCTTCGCTGTTCCGAACTAAGCAAAAGTCCAAATTTGAAGTCTGAGACTCAAGGCACTCTTAGGTGTGAGCCCCTATAAAATCAAAAGCAAATTACAAACTCCCAAGATCAATGACACAGAGAAAGCATTCCCATTCCAAAAGCAGGGAATAGGAGAATAGGAAGGATAGATCAGACCAAAACCCAGCGGGGTAAAAACTAAATCCTGCAGCTCACGTCTGGTTCTGGGGCACGTGGCGCTGTGGTGTGAGCTCCAATGGACTCCGGCAGCCCCACCCCACTTGCCATTTGTAGCTCACGTGGCTGCTAATGTGGGTGGCTCCATTTGACTGTGGCTTTCTATGACAGACGTCCCACATTCCTGGCATCTCCAGTTTCTTGGGGTCTCCACTGAAGCTTCAGCTTCACCCTCACAGATTCATGCATTGCCCTCTTAGGGGCTGACTGCAGGGACTGCAACCCTGCCACACTTTGTCTGGCCTCCCAGACCTTCCTTTGAAATCTGGGTGGAAGCCTCCATGACCCCATAACTTGCATTCTGCGTGCCTGCAAAGCCAGCATCGTGTGCACAATGCAAGGTCTGCCACCAGCTCAAGCAGCAGCAGGACACCTTTGGACCATGGCTGCCGTGGCCTCTGAGTGCCTGGCTGAGCATGGAGAAGTGAACCCTGAGGAAACAGCTTCCTTTGTGAGCAGAGTGCCCTGGAGACGCTCTCTTCTCCAGGGAAAGTCTTTCAAGTGAGTTTACTTTCATACCCTTGAGCCTATAACCTGTGGGGTCTCGCCAATTCCTGAAAATTTAGGGCTAAATGTATCATTCCTGCTGTCCCAGTGCAAATCCCTTGACATCTCTTTAATGGCACTAATCTCCTCAAAAACCATGATTTCCTTAACCCCAGCTTTACATGGACTTTTCTAACCAAACTGCAAATTTTTAAACCTTTCTGCTCTGCTTTTTACTCCCAAGTCTCACTACAAACAGCCAGCAATAACCGTGCCACAACCTGAGTGCTGACTGTCTTGCTTGGTCTGTCACCTGTAAATTCAGCCTCCCACAAAGTCTCAGGGCATGGACAAGATGTAGACAAGTCCTGTTCCAGAATGTAACAAGAATGGTCTTTAGCTCAATGCCCAACAGAAGCCTCGTTCCCACCTGAATCCTCAGAGCACAGTCTTTACTGTCTGAATTCCTGTGGGCTTTCTGGTCTTCTGAGCTCCCACAGAATCGCCCATTGAGCTCTGCTTTTAGCATTCTGGCTTCTCTAGCCCATATTTCCAAACTTTTCCCACAAACTAGTTACAATGGCTTCTGAGTCACATCTTCAGGTAATCACAGCACACCCCCCCCTTCTCTGGTACTAATTTCCTGTACTAGTCAGTTTTATCATCTCTGTGACCAAATACAATGTCAGAAACAACTGTCTTGGAAAGATTTACTTTGGCTCATGGTTTTAGTCCATCACAGGAGGGAGGGAGTAGCAGGGCAGAGCAGTTCACATCATGGTAGGCAGGAAAACAGTGGGAGAAGAAAGGGGCCAGGTATCACCTCCAAAGGCCTGTCCCCAGTGATCTCCTTCTTCAGTTAGGCCCACCTTCTAAAGTTTCCCAAAATAGCACCAGCGTCTGGAGACCAAGTTTCTAACACCTGAGCTGTTGGGGACATTTCCTATTCAAACCACAGCCACCAGTTTCACAGCACTTGGTATCTGCTCTACAATTCACTGTGGCTTCCAAGAGACGTGTTGGCCCAGACTTCCAAACTCTTCCCCTTTATCTACTCACTTTATCCCTTGTCCATCTATTCATACACACATACGTATGTACCTACATCTGTGCATCCACACATTCATCTATCCATCCATGTCTATTCGCCCATCTGCTCACCTACCCAGACTTCCACCCACCCATCAACCCACCATCTATCCATTCATCCATCCATCTGCCCATCCACTCACCCCATCTATCCACCTATCATCTACCCACTCATCCATCCACCCATCCAGGGTTCATTTTAGAGCGCTCAGTACATGCCAGGCCCTGTGTTGTGTGCCACACATATACAGATGGATGGAGTAGACACGGTCCCACCTCGGAGAGGATATACAGTGCAGGGATAAGAAGTCATTGAATCCTTCCTGGCCTGAAGCCCCTCTGGAAGACAGTGTTCCCAGATTCTCAATTGCCGGGCACAGGCTTTGGGAAGAGGTGGTGTGGGCGGGCACACAATGGCTACACATATACACTATCTGAGTTTCCTCTTACTCTGCCTTTCAGATGGTGGAGGTCAGGGCCAGGGGAGACGATGAGAAAATAGATGACCTCATTATCTGGGTGGAGAATGGGCACCTGAGTATCTAAAGGAATGAGTTTGTGTCCTTTCTGAGCAGGAATGACGGTTTTGTTCACAGGCTGAGGACCGTTTAGGAAAATGATTCTGAAGCCAGTGCCTGTGACACATGTGCTTAAGTCAGGTTGTCAGGTCCTTTTAGGCTGAGGCTCAGAACCAAACTACAAGTGTGGAAACCCTGAGCAGGCAGTTGCACCTCCAACTTGGCTGCTGGCTTCGTGTGGGCAGTGTACAGTGGCTCCCTGGGGAGGGCCCTGGCCCCGCTCTGTGAAGTGTCAGGTCACCCTTGACAAAGAGAGCTGCACTCTTCTTCCCGCCACTGTCACACCACACAGAGACAAGGACAGCTCTGGCCAGCTCCAGGGCCACCTCATTCCTCTCTGCTCCCTCCCTCCTCCCCCCTTGTAGTCCTCCCTCTTTCCACCTGCACACAGCCTTCTAGAATGCAATCTTTGGGAGCCTTCACTGCCAGAGTCTTGGAGGCTCAGCCAGTCATGGGGCTGAAGGAAAGAAGGGGGACAAAACAGGCTCAGGCTTGCCCCAGAGCCAGTAGTGACTGCAGGTCTCTGTGCAGCCCCCAGCCCCTTCCTCATGGTTCAGGTCTCCCCTCGCCAGTCTGCACCCTCTTTCCCTGATTAGCAGATGGCCTTCAGAGCCTGGTCCAGCCCCAGAGTACTTTGCCTCACACGGGCCACCCAAGGAGGCCACTTACTGATTAAAATCACCTTTTCTGAGATTACACAGATTAGTTTTTAATTATCATGGTCTCAAGAAGAAAACTCCTCAGCCAGAGGCGGTCCTGCTTCCCGCCTTCTCGTCTCCCAGAGGCCTTGACTTCAGGACTGGGTCAGGTTCTTTGATTTCCTGCTGGACTGCCGCTCCTGTCCACTGTGTGCCTCTGGGCATCTCCAAAATTGCTTCCATCACTCTGGGAGGTGGCAGCTCTTGTCAGCGCCCGTCACATAGCTCAGTGTTCCCATACCAGGTGACCTGCTGCATCCAGAGTCACCTCAGGCTAGTTCCTTCTCCATCTTCAAGAATCTTCCCACTGAAAAAGTAGGCATCAAAAACAAAAGGCCACTCTGAACCTCCAAGCCTCCTGC